TGACGTCGTAACCATGGACACAAATCTTATATAAAACATATTTTTTATCATAGGTGTCAGATTTTATTTCAGTGAAACTTTAATTAAGCCAGAATTTGAATTTTTAACGATGACGTGGAAAATGTAATAAAGGCAGATTATCAAGAAAACTTCCAATCTTGTTCATTCGATAAAAATCTCATAATTACCCGGAAAGTGGTTTCGAAAGTCGGAAAATTATTTCACAATTAATTAACGTTTCGTGTTATGGTTTGAATCTGTAATAACAAAGTTATTTTTGTAAAAGAAGGAAAAAGTTTATTAAAGTTATAACAAAAAAGAGATTTTTTTTCGATGGCGAATGCAGCTTTAGAACATTAATCACATTCATTGATTTTGCAAAGTTTAAATTAAACTCTATAATAAATCTGTTATTCAAAATTCTGTAACCGGAAAAGTCGTGTTTAAAGTTTGCAAAGAAGAATTAAACTTTAATCCTCATTAATGCGAAAAATTGAGACAAATTTCTTATCACATTGAATTTATTACCATTTTGTAATATCCGGGAACTAAATATTGATAATAACAGGTGCATTAGAATGCTTTGTTTTTGATAAGATTCCTAGATAATACAGGGTGCGCCAGAACTCGCGCCCCAGAGAAAATTTTCAAGTAAGGTAAGATACCAGGAACATGAAAAAAATGTTTAAAAAATTCGAACTGTCAAAAAATTTTGACATTTGACATTTTTTTATATCTATGTAATGATACTGATAATCTTGTATATGTTTTTTTACAATTATTTTAAAAGGACAAAAATTTTGGCAATAAAAGCTACAAATAACATTGAACAGAGTTACAATTTAGAATACAGCTTCCTTGTTTCCTCTTTTAATAGCCTATAGCAAAAAAACTTGGAAAATTATTTTTCCAACAGAACTAAATAGAGTCAAAGTGCAAACTTTAAAGCCTCATAACTTCGAAATTTTTATAGATAAAATTTTTTTAACATTTTTTCCATGTTCCTGGTATTTTACCTTATATGGCATTTTTTTCTGGGGCGCGAGTTCTGGCGCATCCTGTATAGAAAATATTCTAAAAATGAGTTTTCCCACGACCATATAAGAAAGTCACTGTTTCGAATTACCTACGAAAATTGACGATGTTGAACGAATCGATTATTCCTAACCACACGTGTGTGTTATGAAAATAACGTAAGAGGTTGTGTGATTGGCGGAGAGCCCTCGGCGCGTCTGGCAAATTGACGCAATATTTATTTGTTTAAAGAAAAACTTTCAGTGAACAATTTTCGCAAAAAGATTAAAATACATTTTTTGAACTTCTAGTTTTTTACTTTTGCTTTTTATTATTTTCTTATTGTCTTAATTCCTGTTATTTCTACTTAACTAGTTTTTCTTAATTTTAGTTAAACTTTAATGAAATTGTTCATTTTACTTTTTTTTGTTAAGAGGGTTAAGTAGCTTTATTATTATTATTATTATCATTTTCAAATTTTTCGTGTTTGATAGAAAAGGTTCAAAGTTTCTAAAAAAACAAGTTCTTCTTCTGGGTGAATTCTGTAGTCAAATTTCTTAATTTTTAAGAAGATTAAAGGTTTAAGAAAAATATTTTTTTAATATTTATTATTTATTCATTTATACATGTTTTCATTGATCCAGTCCACGTAATTGGCCACTTTGGCGAAAACCCCTGGATAGCCCTTAACCGTGCACGGCTTCACCGACCACGATACTGTCCCTACTAGGACCCCATCGACCGTCAAAGGACCACCAGAGTCTCCCTGTCAAAATTAAAAAAAAAATGATAAAAATTTGTAAAAAAAATGATAAAAATGTTTACATTGCATTGTCCTTTTCCACCTTCTGGTACTCCAGCACAAACATGGTACTTCCTATTTGTTGGTCCTGTTTCTTTATGAATCCTTTCGCAATCGTCATCAGAATACACAAAAATGTCGACTTTTTGTAAATGTTTCATAACAGTTCCTCCTGACTGAAATTAAACCGTTAAAAAAAACCACAGTTGGTACTAAACTTACATAGGGGAGACCCCATCCTGCCAGTAAAGCTGGAGAATTTTCCGGAGTTGCATTGAAAGCAATTGGAAGATTTGTTGGTTTAACAAGATCCCCAAAAAGTATCGGTTTAGCTAGCTACAATTTTCACTTAAATACGAAAATTTTAATTTTTTACTTACTTGAACAACTGCAATATCGTTAATATAGCCATTTCCCATGGTATAATTTTCATGAAAAATGACTTTTGATACTTGAACCACATTTGGGGCACTATCACCAGAAGTAATTTCCACAATACCGTATTGTACACTAAGATAGGAAGCATCACTGGAAATAAATTCAAAATATTTCGTGATTTTATGTTTTTAGACGACTTACTAATTGACAACACAGTGGGCTGCGGTTAAAACAGTTTTTGAGTTTAAAATAGATCCGGCACAATTGTGATTACCAAAAAGTCGCAAAGACACCTTAAAAAATCAGAAAAACAAAATTGTTTATGTTATTAGATTATTATTAACTGGAATATAACAACGCTTAGACTAGTGCAGTTAGTAGGGCAAAAGTAAAAACGCTTAGGTGCAAAAATAGAAGTTTTACTCCATGGCTGGCCATTTAGTCACAAAAGTGGGCCCTTTTGTGGATATTTTTTTAGAAACACTTACAATGTAAGGGAATTCGCCTTCTTCGGCATCAGTACCGTTAACAATTCGTCCATTAATTGGTGTCCCTTTAAATTATTTCAGTTAAAGTAATTAATTCAATAAATAATAATTTAAAAAAGTACCACAAACAACACCAAAAAGGGCAAACAACAATGTTACGATTATTTTACGAATCATTTTTTACAACTGTGACAAAGTTTTGTCTATGAGAGTTTATATATGAAAAATAAACAAAGAATGTGAAAAAGTGCGTCGTTCAGTTATTTATGAAAAATAATTACTACCACAATAGTAGTCTGGAGATGTTTATCGGTATTAAATACTTATTTAATGTAAATTATTGTTTAGAGTAAAAAATAAGATAATAGGAACATAATCAACAATCGTTATCAGTTAAAAGCGTAATAATAATGACGTAATCTGTGGATAATTTCCAAAATTTAATATTTTTTGTCTTTTGAATCAATATCTAGGCCAAGGTGCTAAATTGCATGATCCAAACAAGTGCACCAGACACGCAAACATACAGCGTGGTCCAAAAGTCTGGCGAAACCATCAATTTTTTTGACAAATAAATGGCTATAAAAATGCTATTCAAAAAAAAATTGAATATTAATTAATTAATTGTTTATACTTACGAGATTTTTTTTTTAATGGAAACCTACCACAATTTTTTTTAGACAACGAGCTTGTTACAAGAATTGTTGTTCTGCATTTTTTTTTGTAAACCTCACACTATTTTCTTAAAAAAAAATGTATGACTTACAAGAATTAAAGAATTTTTGAATTA